TTGTCAGAACATTGAGTATTTATCAATGGATAATAATTCCAAGTATACGTTTTTGTATAAATATTATTATTATATTTAATTTTTAGCTCAAATTATAAATTATATCAATCGTTACGAGATAGAAAATATAAGGAAAATATTACTTTAAAAAAAGTAATAATATTTATCACGATGTAAAATAATTTCTTTCAACTTTTGATTTATTAGTTTTCGTTACTGCAAAGTTATAGAATTTTTGCTGTATTAAACAAAAGGAAAAGTAATATACAGATTAATTTTACTGTAACCGCAGCTTATTGACCAGTTTTCAAGTAGAGTAATTAGTTTTTCACGTCTAACTACTGTTTTTCAGTATTAAGTTAGTAGTCAATTACCAAATTAACAGCCATTACTATTGGATGATTGTTAGTATGGTTACCCCGGTTTTTGGTATTTAAATGCTGAATATGTTACTAAAAATTTGTATTTTTAAAATTTTCACAACAGTAAACGTTTTTATTAATGGATTTTTTTCCAATAAGTAACTGTATTTAATAATACAACAATATATGTGTAATTGAGTGTGTTTGTCTGTTTGTTGTTTAGTTAGTTTGTGTAATTAGAATAATTCGAAGAAATATTGACGGACGTCGGTGGCCGCAACGGTGGTTCATCACTGTAAAAGGGTGGCGGGTTCGAATCCCAGCGGACCTGTTTTTTTATTTATTTCTTCGTTCTATATAAAATTCATATAATACAATCAAATTGATTGTTATGCATTTTATTATACAGTGGAAGTGGCGGGGCAATAGTACCTCCCGTAATTTTACCTAACCTCTTAAAACCTAATAGGTAAATGGTTGTAATTATGCTAAATATTTTTAACGCTCCTCCGTCGACCGTCTCGTTGTGTTGCTCTTGTAGGAGTTACATCGAGCTGGAGCATCTTGACACAAAATGAAGGTTGTTGGCTGGGTACCCGGACACAGGTAAGGGTAACGAAAAGCAGACGAAGTAGCTAAGGCCGACGTGCTGCGATCCGGACCCTGGCGTTAAAAATGAAAGAAAAAACATGATTAAAAGAAAGTGGCATGGTTGGTGAGCCGAATCGGGAGAAATTTCTCGCGTATCAAGAACACTGATGATAGGTGGTCGTCGGAGGATTTGTGTCGTCCTCACCCGATTACGGATAGGCCAAGCGAGGATGATACGCGGACATTTACTTTTGGCCAAAGCTTGCATGTTGGGAAATGTTACTCGAAGTGACCCACCTACATTGAAGGGTGCATTTTCTTTCCTCCATATGAGAATTACACATGAGCACAGCAGCAAATAGTTGGGTGCCCCTCTTACAATTCTTGGAGGAAACAGAGTTTATTATTGTACATAGTAATAATTTTGTGTACCTAGCGTGTAGATTGTATGTATTTATTGGCGTGAATGTGTAGTGTGAGAGGGCCGATGGCGGAATATTGATTATCGACCCTCAATTAGGTTAGTTGTATAGTAGGTGTAAAGAGTAATGGAGGAATGTCAAACATTCCACCACAATAACTGACTGAATGAATTTGGCTTGATTGATGGCGTTGGGGGCTGAAATGACCTAGCTGTTCGCAGTCCCTGGAACGAACCTCGGCTGATGGACGGATAAGACTGCGTCTAACCTCGTACTGCCAACATCTGGGTAGGCGATTCTCGAGGCTTGCCGCTAATAACTGTAACTTTCAAAAGGTGGTATTGCCGATGGACTGCGAGAAGTAATAGGCTCAACTCTATACACGTGCGTGTGTATGTAAATTCGTGTGCAGATTTGAGCTTATGTAAATCAAGAAATATTTACAACAGTTCTTTAGCGGTCCTGCATTCGACTTACAATTCGAATTACAAATGGGAATTTTTCAGAAACACCTCCGAGAATCTATGGTATTGGAAACCTCCGTAAAAAACAAATGTTGATGTTTTGGCCTGTTTTAATTAAAAAAAGATATAAGACTTTTTATTAGGCAATATTCCATCAATATATTCAGGTAACGCCAGTAGATATTTAAAGTTTTAAATCGAGTTATTTTAAGAACGCAGGTAAATATTCAAAAATCAAAAAGTGACAAAGTAGCTTTTAATCATTGTGCTTGGTTTCTTGTAATAAACAAAATTCTTTAAGACAATAACAGTCGTTTTAATTGAGACGTAGTAACCTTCACAATTTTGCCGATTAACTTGCTTGTTGTTTCGCAACAATTTGTGAACGGATAAATGAACAGAGAATAATAAATTGAGAGTGCTCATTCCAAATTTCTGATCCAGTTTGCATTATTTCCTTTGAACCTAACATAAATTATTTGTTTTCACACGCTACAGGGTGGCCTTTGTAGATGGCCCGGCTGAATTTTCTCTTGAACACAATACAACGAAAAACCAAAAAATACATATTTAATATAAAACTGCGCATTGATACATGATTCGAGGTGTTTTCCTGTGCCCATGTTCGAACCACCGATTGAGAAAACCACTTGTGGTGAACTTGAATTCATCAGAATTTATCGGATAATATTTTCCGTCTATTAAAAATCCTCAAGCCCTTAGCCAAGATGAAAGCGATTTGGTTGGTTTAAAACTGTGTTCTGAGGACATCTCTAATTGTTTTCTTTAAAAAACCCTCCCAGTGTTTCGAAGGGAGAAGTGTGGATTTTTGAGAACTACAAAAAATTGTTCAACAAAATGATTTTGCCGGTTTCTTGCTGAGCTCTACTGGTACACTGACGGCTTCACAACTGAGAAGGGATGGAGGAGCCGCTGGCAAGGCTATGGAGGTTGTTTAGCATCCAGAAGCTGGCCAAAGTGTTATATCATAAAAACTTGCGTATCCACGGCTAGCAGACCCATCATCAACCCAAGAAATTCATGAAACCGACTAGCATCAAAACAGCAAGTGAAAATACTTAATAATAAAACGGAAATTAAGATTTTTTCACATTCTTTGCCATAACTTTGTTATTATTTGACAATATTAAAATTTAATTGCACCATCTTTTCAGTTTAAAAAACTCTTTAAAAACAGTGGATAAAGAGTATACAATATCATTGAAAATTTCCAATTCTTACTTGCTCTGAAGTATCCTTATAAAACATTCAAATATTTAAAAAAAAGGCAGTAAAATTTAAACATTAGACTAAAAAATATTAAGTACGTATGTTTTCTTTTTCGATAACGTTATCTATTCAAAAAAAATTTAACCAGGCCATCTAAAAAGGACACCTGTATAAATAGGTATTGCTGATGGGAGAGCTTTATTGGGAAAGAGCTTGCCGAAGACAATAATTGTTGTTTCTTATATGACATCTCTCGACTTAGATAAAAAATGATTTGATAATAATTATAGTTTTTATGTTTTTTTACTAAAATTATAAATATAATATCATCCGTGTTCTTCAAAATTGCACTAAAAATAATGTATACACGTGTTAATTACTACTAATTGTACTTGGTACAACGTCTCGTCAGCTTTGTAATTCCACGGAGGAAGTGCCCATCAAATTTGAATAAAACTCTACAGAGGAACGGACTGCATTTGTATATTTGAAATGTAAATATATCAGAGTGGAAGGGACGAGGCGGTGTCTTGCGTGTGTTCGGAATACTCAACAGCTATTTAGCGGAATTAAATGGTTTATCTGGTGGAAATAATCCTAGTGTATATTTTAATTGCCGTGTTTCAAAAGAGTTGCCGAATAGAGTTAAATTTTACACAACAGTTAGCATTTTCGTAAAGAAAATTATGGTTAATTACCTCATTTATATTTTATAAGTAAATTAACATTATAAAACAAAACAGAAAAAAAACACCAGTTTATTTTAAACAGTGCGGAGTGACCCAGACTTTTAGTGGATATTAATGATAGATATATTAATGATAATAGGATGTTTAGGGGCCGACAATTGACTGAGGCTATCGCCGGGCCTCTGAGTGATTTTACCTCTTGTTTTGGGTCGTTCTCCCAAATTTTTCAACCTGCAGCAAGTGGGCTTCTCGATCTACTACTGACTCCTTGCTTTGATATGAAAACTAAGTCAGTTTTCTAAAATACTAGACTCTAATTTGTACCTTTAATACAATATATNCATGCATATATATATATATATACATACATACATAACCACCCTACACAAACATACAAGACTGGTCACATTCACTTCCTCAGAGTACTCGAAATCCCTCGGAGCGGGGTTGAACACACTCCATTCTCGCTAATAACTTCTTTTATTTTCCAGCCGTCACACACTCACCCCAGAGAACTCAATATTCTTCGGGGCGGGAGTAAATAACCCCGTCCTTTCACGCTACAAAATGAGATTTTGTCAAACATGATATAAAATTTAAAAATGTAAAATGTATTTTAAAAGAAAAAATGCGACCAGATTAAATCGGTTAGAAAACGGATACATAAGTATCTATAATAATGATGTATATTTGCGAAATGATAAAAAAATTGTGTACAATTTAGTAATATTATTGACATATATCAAAAAGAAAATGTATAATTCTTTAAAAATAAATATCTGTCTTTTATATTCCAAGCCAATGTCTTACAATCAGAATTGGAAAACAAGTGAGCATGAAGAGGACGTTAACAGTTGAGGAATAATTAAGGAATAGGTAGAAAGTAAACAAGTTGTTCTAAGTCGGGAAACAACCCTTTTAGTATTTCTCAACAGAAAAAAAGACCCGAAGGCAGACGATTCTGAGAAATTAATTCCTCTCCCGGGATGGTTTATAGGTGGGCTGGGTCGAAATAATTCCTAAGAGTATATGGCGTGGTTTGTCGTTTGGAATTGGTCCTGATGGTTCGAGGGTTTATTTTTGTTGTGATTCCAACGTCAAACACTCGTTATTCGTGTATTTTCTTCCCGGGGGCGGTAGCATTCTGAGGGGGCCGCGGTATCGACTCGTTACAGGGTGGGGGTCGGGGGTGGCCATGGAAACGGGGGTGGCTGGAGGACGGGCAGGCAGTCGGCACCAGGCAGCCGTTTGGGGATGGTGTGGCCCGCGAAAACACGGTAAAACATGGGCACGGTTCTTAGCTTCTCACCAAGGGAGAGGCGTCCTGTGTACACGACGACAACGGCCGGCCCGACAGCGGAGTACACCCTCAACAACCTGAGTTACGAGCAGCTTAACAACGCGAAAAACCGCGAGGCCATGGCTGGCAAACTGCAACCCGCTCCTCCGGCGAATAACGAAAATTCGAGAATAATTTCTGAAAAGAACGCCTTAGAAAAATCGTTCAAAAAGCATTCCCTCTTACTCAACGCCTTGTCATGGAAAAGGTTCTCGACGACCAACAACTCGAAGAAAAAGCTTGAGAACAAAAACAAGAATCTCGTCTATCGACCTCCTCTCGTCGACAATATCAATCCGATAGTCGATAAAAACAAAAACATACAGAAAACTCTTTATTATTCTTCTATGGTCAAATCCGCCACGACCACTTCGATACCGACCTCCGCCGGGTTGGACATTAGGGCGAACAACGCCAACAACAACACGTGCAGCGAGAAGTTGATACCGAAAGCTGTCCTCCTTCCTGCCACACTACAGAATCAAAGGCTACCCGCTAAGAAAACTGTGATCCAAGCGTCCACGTCCGAGCTGCTTAAGTGCCTCGGCATTTACCTCCACACCAAGTGCTATAGACTCAAGGACTTTCAAGCAGGTGACGCCGTGATGTGGCTGAGAACAGTGGACCGAAGTTTACTCCTACAAGGTTGGCAGGTGAGCTAAATCGTTTCAATGCAATTTTTCTTTAGTTTATACATGTTTATTACGAAGTTTCTTCTTGGGGATGCTATTATTATATTATTTTATAATCAACATTTTTAATATTATGTGAGGTGAAGAAAAATCTGAGAAAATGTTGTGCCACTTGAAGTTTGGTCGTGTCCGATCATTTTGGTCTGTCTATCCTCATAGGTCTGACAGAACTATCTCTGAATATCACAAAACAACCAAAACGCGGCTGACATACCAAACCAAGGATAGACAGGTAGATATAAATGGATACGATCAAACTATAAACCCTTTAGTCCTATTAGCTTATGATGTTTTTCAACAAAACCATGTCTTACAAACAATCCAACATTCGATCAATATGTCACTTCCTATTTGTTATCATAATTTAAGATATCCCTGTCCTCTTTTTAATATCTAGAAAAAAAACAACCTTATAACCTCAGTGTAGGTTGCCAGATATTTTCTCTGCATTAAAGCAAGAGTTATGCGTGCGCTCTATCGATCAGGACAACCAATGCCGTGCCCGGCTAAATATCGCGATTCCGTGAACCTCCGCCCTCACGTCTAGGGGACTTTTTTCTCCGTCTCTAGTTTTTCATGATTTTCATGTCACGTCTAATTAATGCCCGTGGCCCAGTTTTGCATGCTCCAACGCACGACGTCCTGATTATTTCATTATTTCGATAGAACTGGCCGGTTTTTGCATACCGTTGGGCGCCATGCAACATCATTTACTTTACGACCCCGATATTTAATTATTCCAGCCTTAGTAGGATCTCGAACTGAAATATTCATATTACTTAATTATATGTTTACAAATTTTAGCCATAAACTATTTCTCTTATCTGTGTTCTATGTGATTTAGGTTTTGGAACTTGTAGCAAAAAATTAACGTTCTCATATCGCAAATTGAAAAATTAAAAAGTAATTTTTTTATATTAACAATCGTTACAACAAATTTTACATAAAAATCTTCATATCACAAGCCCTCTGGAAAAACGTTTTCTACCGCCTGTTAACTTATTTACAACGGGTAAGAAAGTCTTTGTGAAAACTGTTAATTAGGCAGTGGGAGACTCTTTGATGCTGTTCTTTCCTACAGTTACACCCTGGATGGTGTAATTAGGGACAAAAACTTCCTTAAATCCCTTGTCAATAATCTGTATCATAAATATTCTAAACTAAAAAAAAGATGTTTTATAAATTATAAAGATTATTATGAAAAAAGCAATGAAAATATATTGATTTTTATGACTTCCCTCGGCTAAAAATATATATTTTGTGTAAATTTCAAATAAGCAAAACACCATTATTTTACAGGAGAAGAAAATGACAAAAAACACGAGACAATCAATACAAAACAACATGAGTATTGACACAAACCGAATAATTAAAATATAAGTAAATATGTACTTTCTCATTTAGCTGGGAATAAGATTGGAGAGAAGAATAGACAATTATCCGAGTGTGTGTAACTACTTAATGTTTTAGACCCAGGTGTGGTTTTTGTATAAGGTTTCACCTTGATTAAGAGAAATCCGCCGAGTGCTTTCAAGTCAGGGTAATTCATTATTGACTCGTTCATTTGTTGGATTTTTCGTAAATCGATAGGAACAATTCTTACCTAACTGCAACCTAATCCTATAATCTATTTAACCGTTTTCATTTTAGCGTTTGTTCGGTGGCGTTCATCTATTAAAATCTGAAATATAGAATAATTTTCTTAAGGTTGTTTAAAAACAAAACAAATTTCTATTAGAAGGTGTTAAATTGAAGCATCTTTGAAAAAATGATACTTGAATTTGATTAAGTTCAATCCTACTTTCGTATTAAAATCCTTGTAAAATGCAATGGAATATCTATGTTTTCATTTTGTAAAACACTGGACAAATCGCAGAGAAAACTTGTATGAAAATTTTTGTTTATGTGTACAAACAAGTTAATTGTTCACGTTTCAGCTTAATTATGAATTCATCACCTTGCAGATCATTCAAACATCTTCACATTCTATTAAAACATGACAGATAATTTAAAAGAAAATGTAATCAAGTAAGTTTGTGACTATTTTTTTTCTTAGACGTTCAAGATTTAGGGAAATATTAGGAGTTTTCTGTTATTAAAGGTTTCATCTTTATTAAACAAAAATATCTCTTTGCAGTTAATTCACATCATTTTCTTTGTACTGGAAAGCTTAATGTTATCTTTTTCGTCGTTCTATTATAACTTGTTTTTCTTAAATGTCCTCGTTCTTATTCAAATCTAAATCTGTAAATAAAATGTCATTTGGAAACAAAAATGCTCTCATTTTTTGTGAAAATTTTTATTTAGACAAAATCTTTTTATGTACAATAAAATTCAAGGTTATTTTTTCTAATGACTTAATATAGTGGTAGTTACAACAGAATTTTTAGACGCATGCAGTACTTTTATCATAGCCAGTTTTATCTTCTACGTTGATAATGGAACTTTACAATTAAATCCAACCATTTTCTTTGTACTGGAATTTCTTTTTTAAAAGCTTAATTTTATCTTTTTCGTTGTTCTATTATAACTCGTATTTGTTAAAAGTCTTCGTACTTAATAAAATTTTAAAATATGACGGGGAGTCAATTATCAACAAAAATGTGCTGATCTTCTTGTGCAATTAGAAAAAAATTTTTTTTTGCACACAATAAAATTCGAGGTTAATTGTTTCTATAAATACAATCTAATGACAGTTGCACGAGGATTTTTTGTAATGCTTTTATAATAGTTTAATTTTATCACCGACCTTGATCTATTTAACTTTTTTGAATTAAAATAAATAACTTGTGTTTGCTAAGATGCATTTATACTTAGCTGTAGTTACTCATTTTATTGTTTAACCAAATGTAAATCTGACAAATAAATGTAAATTTGATGAGAACATTTAGATGAATGTGGTTGAAAAAAAGTGATGGTTTCCCCATGCTTATTTATCTATTTTTAAAGTTCATTTTTATTATCTTACATTTAATATTTAAGGTTATTTGTTATAGAGAAATTATATTATTGGTGTTTGGTTATTTTTGTGAACTAAAAACAGTTATTAATTTTAAGCCGTATATTTCAAAAACAATATCCGTATATACTTCTTTTTGTTATAACAGTTAGAAATTAATTTTTATTTACATGCCTGTTAATTTACCTAAATTGAACTAAGTGCTTCGAAATTTATACGTACATAATGATTAATGTCTAATTGTTATAAAAAAAGTATTTATGGAATTAAAAAATTATGTAGCTTTGAAGAGGGGCCAGGGATGTGGCCGAATTACATAGCAGTTAAATGGCTTAAAAATAATAATTGATGTTTTTAGTTCACGAAAATAGCTAACAACCTAGATTTAAAATATTTAACCACCAAATTGAATTAAAATAATGTATTTGAATGATATATTTAACCACCAAATTGAATTAAAATAAAGTATTTGAATGATATTATTAGGTTTCAGTTACATCAAGCTTGCTACACTTACTTTAAAGCTTAATTTTCTCATCGGATTATTGCACTATTTAGTCAAAATTGAATCTGCCAAAAGAATGTCAGTAACCAAAAAATATACTGTTTTTTTAAATCTTAACATTTAATGTTTCATTTGGATTAAACAAAAGCCTTTTCTTTGATTTAATATTTAATGTTTAAGGTTTTTTGTTATTGTGAATCCAATTTTTCAAGATTGAGGATTAAATTTAACAGCTAAGCTTTAAAAGCTTTTATGATATGCATTTTATTTCCAAGTTTATCTTTTATGTTTAGCGGTACTGTGTTCGGTAAAACTCGAAAGAAAATAAAATAGAAAAAATATTCTGTTACTTCAAAAAATGAGTTATAAATCCAATTATTATATAATTCACAAATATACTTACTCACTTTCTTCCTAAACAAATATGAATTTGCAATTATCGAGAATTACACGGAGTTAGCCTTTGAAGTTCATGTATGTCGAGTTATTTTTTTTGTTTCGTCTCGATTTATCAAAAGTCAACATGTTGTGAATCCGCTGGAGTCGTTTTGCGTGTAATCTATATTTATATTTATTCATATCGATTCGGACTTGTACAATTTTCCTTGTTCTATGTTTAGCTTAAAACCTAACTTTTCTCCCAATTGCCAGTCATATAAATAAAAAACACGAGTAATTAAATAAATTGGTGAAAAAAATACGCGTGGGGTTAAGAAGTAAGAATTTACATTTTATTTAATTAATTGGAAATCGCTCACTGTCGATCTGAACAACAGGAAAATTAAAGTGGGATGAAAATATTTAAAATTTAAATAAGGAAAGATAGTATCCTCCCTTTTTCCCCTAGAAGAAGAAGTGTCATTGTGTTTTTTTAAATTATTTTTAAATAGGATTTTTATTTATAGTATTTGATGGAAGAATAAAAGGATAACGATGAGCATATTCTCATGCTGAGACTGTTGCCAGTCTGACTCCATTATAATAATAATAATTATTATTGTTGGCCATACAAGCCTATGTGAAAATGTTTAAATTATGGCACAAAAATTCGAAATTCTAAGCAAACAGGAATCAATTTTATAATTTAAATTTTTTTTGCATTAATTTGACCTTCCATGTTAAGTATTTTTAAAGGATAAATTAAAGCTTCGGATGTCAATAGGATAGATTAATTTATGAGTAAATGTTTGGACTCAGAGCTTTATAGCACTCAGAAGGGATATAGCTAACTAAGGTAGAAGGTTTAAATGTTAGGGCATAAAAATGATTAGCTATTAAAACGCCCTTAAAAATTAATAGTAATAATAAATATTTAAACGTTTTGAAATTATTATTCAATTCACTAGTTTTCCTGGTCCGATTGACCAAATAATATCTTTTAATTTATTAATCGTTACGTAAGGATCGAAGTCACGATTGTTCAAGTGGTAGAGCAGCGGCGTTTTTAGCCGAAGGTCGTGGGTTCGAATCCCGCCCGTGACACTTACTTTTTTATTT